AAAAAAAAAAAAAAAAAAAAAAAAAAGAAGCTCTCCGAGAAGCTGGGCGCCGTGGCTCACGCCTGTAATCCTAGGACTTTGGGAGGCTGAGGTGGCTGGATCACCTGAGGTCAGTTCAAAACCAGCCTGGCCAACATGGTGAAACCCCAGCTTTAAAAAAAAAAAAAAGAAAAAAAGAAGCTCTCCGAGGGTGTATAGCTAGACATGTGCACTGGGGGCCCCGCCACAGGGTACATGAAAGCTTAAACTCAACCCGTGCTCACTCGCCAAGCTGTGCACCCCAGCGCAGGCTTGTGTTTGTCCAAAGTGGCAGTGCCTTTTTCTACTTTGCGTGAGGGTACTGCATGGACTAGCAAAGTCCTTTTGACAATGCCAAATGGTAAGCCAACGGCAAAGTTCCCTCCTCCCCTGATAGCGTGTTCCTCCCAGGATGCTCTTTCAAGGAATCTCACCCAAGCCAGAAAATATGACTTCACAGGATCTTCCCCTTGGAAAGGAGTTCAGCCCCCTCCACCTATCTCCTAGGACAGAGACCTGAATACCAGAGCCGGGTCCAGGGGCAAACACTTCAGTGCCAATATCCAGAGAGAGATTCCGGGGTGTGCTCCAGGAAACACCATCATCCTTGCTCCATACCAACATGGTAGAGGCCACCTGGCAGCCAGCCTTGTGGGCACAAAGGGTGTAGAAAAGAAATACCACTCCTGTCTCAACATCGCTCACCACCGACCCAAGGTTCAGCCCATCGGGGACATCCCCGTCATTGACAATGAACGCTGTAGGAGACCATGTGCTGCCTGAAAAAAATCGGAGGAAGAAACTCAGAGTGAGCACTCTGCAGGTACCCCTTCTACCACTTCCCATTAACTTCCCACCTCCTGCTAGGGACCCCAGGCCTCCCACTGGCGGCAGGGTGCAGTCTAACAATCTAACACTTGCACTACCTATACCTCTTGTCCTGTCTTATTTTTCTCCATTGCATTTATCACTTTCCAACACACAAAAGTGTTTATTTTTATACTTGTCTGTCTCCTTACAATAGAATTTAAGTCCTGTGAGGACAGATTTTTGGTTTGTTTTGTTCATGGCTATATTCATAAAACCTAAAATAGGCTGGTCATGGTGGCTCACACCTGTAATCCCAGCACTCTGGGAGGCCGAGGTGGGCGGATCATGAGGTCAAGAGATCGAGACCATCCTGGCCAACATGGTGAAACCCTGTCTCTACTAAAAATACAAAAATTAGCCGGGCGTAGTGGTATGCGCCTGTGGTCCCAGCTACTCGGGAGGCTGAGGCGGAAGATTTGCTTGAACCCAGGAGGTGGAGGTTGCAGTGAGCCGAGATTGTGCCACTGCACTCCAGCCTGGCAACAGAGCAAGACTCCAACAGAGCAAGACTCCGTCTCAAAAAAAAAAAAAAAAAAAAAAAAAAAAAAACAGGCC